ACCATCCACTTCTCTTGCGTTCTTACGCCTCATTGCAGCATAGAATCGGCCCACCCTCTGCTGTCAAGATCGACCGGACACATCCTCTACCGAACATCACGGGCATCTACATTAATCGTATCCTCAGTGAGGATCTCACCTTGACCTCCTCCTCCTCCTCCTCAGCATCAACAACAACAACAACAACAACAACAACAACAACAACTGAGTTCAGCCGACCACCACTGATTGCATCCCCTCCACTCACTGCCCCGTGTTGCCGTTCATCATGGCATCATCATCACCAGCAAGCTCTCCATCATACCCACACGTGCATGTTCATGTTCGCTCCCTCTGCTCATCATACTTCCCGTGCGCCTGAACTCCCGTTCCCACAGATCATTCATTACCTGCCCGCATTTCGCTTTTTCACCACCCCTCTGTTTCACTCATAAAAAGGGGTAGGGGTCCTTTCAGTGATACTGGCAGAACGATTCGATGGGGTTCTTCGAATGGGAAAAGGAGGGGTGGGTGTCCTTAATGGAGTGGGTAGGGGTCACTGGTCGTTCTGGAAGACTGGCAATTGGGTGGGGTACAAATATGAGGAAAATAGGGGTACATGCATTTCGGGGAGTATCTGGGGTACAGTAGGGTAGACAGGTAGCTAATAAAGCGCACGCATTGAGTGGGGTGGGGTGGAAAAATTAGGGTGGGTACTTTTATATGATTTGATACGGTGGTGGAACATTTCTTTGATTGATTCCCTAGGGGTGGGTGGTCAGAAAAACTAATTTGTCAGGGTGGGTGGGGTTTCTCGGAGTGGGTCGATGTCACTGGATCAATGGGGTAGATCGAAACAAAAAACCACATACACCCCCCAATATATGTTTTCTGTACCCACCCCTTTACCGTAAATTTCAGGGCTACTCCCTAATTCGGACTACCCACCCTCTTCAAAAAGCATTTGCCATATTTGAAAAAGTCAAAATTTCCAAGGTAGTGGTGGTAATATACTTGGAAGTGTTGAATTGTCGTTCTGGTGGTGGGGTTTGGCATGGCGACGACGGAAGGGCTGCTACAATGCCTGGCAGGTGCGGAAGGGGGAGGGGAAGGGGAGAGATGCGGAGAGGATGGGGAATATGGGAGAACACGAACATGGGATGATATGTGAGGAGGATGGAGGGGAGAAGGCAAGATGGAGAGCGAGGGGCGAGGAAGACATGAATGATGTGCGTCAGAGGGAAGGAAAGGGAGCATAGAGTTCAACCAAACGAACAAGAGGAACGAGAGGAGAGAGCATGAGACTTGGATCAAGATTGCGACGAGTGAGAATGCATGCTCGTGCTTGGTCGAGGTGGACAGAGGTAGAAAGATGTAGGGAGAAGTGATGTCCGAATAAGAGGTTCAACGATGACAGCAGGAGGATGAGATCAGGAGCGAGCGTGACGGGTAGAGGATGACGAAGTCGAGTGTGTCGATGGGAGAGCTGACATGGCACCTCCTCCCGCCCCTAATGATCCTGAAAGGCACCCAATCGCCGATCGCGGAAGTTCGAAAGGCTGCAGAGGAGCAGCTTCAGAGCTTCAGCCGAGAGCATGGGTTCGGCGTCGCTCTCATGGAGGTGACCAGTGCTCGCGCTGCACCCTACTTCCCCTGGCTTCACCCCCTGACTTCGTGCTCTGGCTTCTTGCACTGACATGGTCCCTGCGCGTACACAGATCGTGCATTCCTCGCAAGTCGACGTCCAGATCCGACAGCTGTCGGCAGTCCTCTGCAGGAGGTACATCTCCAATCACTGGATCAGGCAGAAGCCAGACTTTCAAGAGCCGGAGGTGAGGCTAACTCGCTCCTTTCACCCATCCTGCTCGCTCCTTGACACATCTTGCTCGCTCGTTCTCACGTCATGGCAGATCGCCGAAGTACACAAAGCTGCGATGAAGCAGCAGCTGCTCAATGGCCTCGGGCTCGAGCACTCGAAACTTCGCACAGCGGTGAGAAAGTTTGGAGCGCAAGCTGACATTGTTGGGGTGATAGAGAAGAGGAAGGAGTGGGATGGAGAAAGGAGACGAGGAGGAGATAGTGGTAGCGTTGTTGCTGATGATGATGATGATGATGATGATGATGATGAGGAGGAGGAGGAGGAGGAGGAGGAGGAGGAGGAGCAATATTGAGGAGGAGGAGGAGGAGGAGGAGGAGGAGGAGGAGGAGGAGGAAGAGCATGACGGTGTTCTTTGGACTAGGTGAGTATGGCGGTCGCCTCCATTGCCAAGGAAGACTTTCCTGACAACTGGCCGGAGCTGATCCCGCACGTGATGAGCATGCTAGAGACAGGAGAGCCTCACCTTGTGCATGGAGCGATGAGATGTCTGGTGCTGGTCTCGGAAGAGATCACTGACACTCAAGTGCCGCACGTCATCACCCATCTGTTCCCGAAGCTCTTCCGCATCTTCACGGCAGTCGAGCTGTACGACAAGATGATCAGAGCGAGGACTTGCACTGTTGTGTTCAAGTGCATCAAGCTCATCTCGCTGCTTGGAGACGCCTCGGACTCCGAGGCTACCTCGCTGCAACTGCTCGAGCAGACTGTCCCAGCATGGCTGCAGTGCTTCGCTCAGGTTCTTTCTTCTCCTCTCCGGCACGACGATGCGGGAGAGCTGTGCATGAGAATAGAGATCGTCAAGATCCTCACGGTCATCGTCGAAGTCTATCCTCACCTCCTCTCCTCCAACCTGGCCGCCATGATCGCAGCAGTCTGGCAAGGGCTCACGGGCCTCGTGGAGGTCTACGAAGTGCATGCGGTGTACTCGAACAGCTCCAACGACGTCGAAGTCGATCCTGCCGATGACGTGGACGGAGACAGGATCTCCATCGAGACTCTTGCGTGGGAGTACATGGAGTGTGTGCGGGAGGTAGTGGGATGCAGGCATACAAGGGATCTTGTCAAGACGCAGCTCTGCCCCATCGCCTTCACCCTCATCCGCTTCATGCAGGTGACAGTGGAGCAGCTGCAGATGTGGAGCGAGGACGTGAACGCGTACATAGCGCATGAGGACGAAGGATCCTTCGAGAGCTCTGTCCGCATCTCAGCTGCTGACGCTGTAACGGAGATCTGCCAGAGCTTCGGGGCAGAGGGCTGGCAGGCCGTCCTGTCAGCGGTGATGGGGCAGCTGGAGGTAGCGAGCAGGGCCAAGGCCGCGGGGGAGGAGAAGTGGTGGCTAAAGAGGGAGGCGTGCATGTTTGCCATCGCAGTGATCTCGTCGGACTGCGACCTCCAGCGCATCTCGACGATCTTCCGGCCGGACGACTTTGTGAGGCAGGTGGTCTTGCCCGACATGTCCGCAGACTCCCCCGCCGTGCTCAAGGGGCGGGCCCTCTACTGCGTTGCGAGCTTCGCCAGGTGGATGCCCCTAGAACTTGCCATCCAGTGTTTCGGCCCTGCCCTTGAGTCGCTGGGAGAGGCTTCCTCCTTGCCGGTCAGGATGACAGCTGCCCGAGCCATCGGGTCCCTGTCAAGCTCTGGGGAGGAGGACGAGGAGCCGGTCCTTGGGCACGACTTCCTCCGCCCTCACGTGCCCGTCCTGCTGCAGAGGATAGCGCTGCTGCTTGCCTCGGCGTCGGAAGACTCTGCCCTCATCACCCTCGAGGCTCTGCATCAGATCGTCAAGATCCACTCGGACGACGTGTCGGCGCAGCTGCCGGTGGTGCTGGAGCAAGTGCTGACGGCCCTGAGCCGCTGCGCCGGCGACATCATGATCGCATCGGAGGCCGTAGAGACGATCGCATCTCTTGTGGAGAGACCCGATGCGGTCCAGGTGGTCGGGGAGGCATGTACTCCCCTTGTCATGAGCGCGCTGCAGCATGCGGACAGGTTCGTTTGCACGCAGGTCGAGAGCATCGTGGAACTCCTGTCCAAGATCGTGCGGAGGGTACCAGGACAAGACGTCTTCCGTGGACCTCTGCTCGACGTCGTCTTCCCCACCCTTCTCACCATCATGCGTACGACGGAGAACGAGGACATCATCCAGCCTGGCTGTGCGTGCCTTCGCTCATACCTCCGGGAGGCGCAGCCCGAGCTTGCAAGGCTGCAGCTCCAGGGCCAGCCTGTGATCCCGGACTGCTACTACGAGATAGTGATCCAGATCTTGTCGGTAGGCTCGGAAGGCTCAGTCACGGCACTTGCGCCCCTGATTGAGCAGATGTTCCTACGATGCCGAGGAGCCGTGCAGCACCTCATCCCGAACATGCTCGCCGCCGCTCTCGAGCAGCTCCGGGCAGCCCGTACGCTCCAGCTGAAGCAGGCGATCGTCGTGCTGTTCGCAAGGCTGCTGGTGGAGGACCTGGAGGCGACCCTGGGCTTCCTGAAGGAGCACAGGCTGGAGGGGGGGCAGGAAGCTCTGCCTGTGCTGCTGGTCTGCTGGGCGAAGGAGCACGGCGATTTCTCGGGCTCGTACGAGTGTAAAGTGTTGACGGCAGCTCTTGGCTCGCTGCTGCTGTCCGGGGACATGGCCGTGCTCAACATGTCGGTCCCAGGGCAGAGGAAGGAGAACTCGGAGCAGAGGAGACTGACGAGGAGTCAGACGAGGAACATGGCGGAGAATCCAATCGATCAGTGGACGGCAGTTCCCTTCGCGCTGAAGGCCTTCCTGCTGCTGCTGGAAACAATCAAGAGGGAGGAGGAGGAGGAGAGGAGCTTCGAAGGCGACTGTGTCTCCGACGAAGGGGCGAGTGCGGATGCTGAGGGAGATGATTTTGACGAAGGGGACGGGGACGGGGCGAGCAGGGGGAAGGGAAAGTTCCCCCACATGTCGCCGCATCTCTCGGCACTGAGTGACGTGGGTCCTCCTCCTTGTCGATCGCGCCTGACCGAATGTTAGGATGGAGGAGCCCTTGCTAACGGGATACAGAGTGAGGCATGTCGGAGGGAGATAGTGAAGGTGGGGAGGAGGAGGAGGGGGAGGAGGGGGAGGGAGGAGGAGGAGGAGGAGGAGGAGGAGGAGGAGGAGGAGGAGGAGGAGGATAGAATCTCACTCGGGTTCTATAGACGATCATGGCGGGGATGCACAAGCTGCGGGGAGAAGATGTGGATCGCGACCATCAAGAGGATCCGATTTCAAATGTGCTCCTTTCACCTCCTCCTTCCTCTCCTCTCCCTCCCATTCTTCCTCCTCCTCCCTATCCTCTTCCCCTCTCCTTTCCTGTCCCTTTCCTCCGTCTCATCTCTCCTCCGTCTCATCCCTCGTCTGCTCGCCGCTGCTCTACTCTCCAACCTGCCGTCCTCCTCCCCCTCCTTCCCTCTGTCTCTCCTCACCAATAGCAGGTAAATATCAAGGACAAGTGCTTGGAGGTGCTGCAGGTTCGGCCTCTCCCTGCTGCTCCCCCGCGTCTTACTGACTTGCCCTGTCAAGACTCTTGCGCAGCATCAACGGCAGAAGCTCCGGTCATGCCTGGAGAGGACCCCAGCCGCTCTCCAGTCGGTAAGGACCTTCCTGCTGCTTGTTCTTTACTTGCTCCTGCTGCTTCTTCTTTACTTGCTCCTGCTGCTCCGCCTTTCTTCGCTCGTTCTTAATCGTGCTGATTCAGGTGGCCATGGCACATCTCGGCCCGATGATAGCGGCACAGCCCATGCACTAACGCTAGCTCGAGCATGAAGCAGCTAGGGGACAAGCCATGCCTACCTCTCCCCTCACATCCTTCCTTGTACTCGCCTACCTCTCCCCTCACATCCTTCCTTGTACTCGTTGACCATCACCAACCAAGGCCGCGCCTGAGCCGCCTCTGACCGCCATCATTTGCACCGCGACTGTCACCCAACGGTCCGGCATGTCAGTGCCGCTGCTATGCTACCGTGATTACGGCCGGGCGGCGGTCGGACCGCAGCGTCGTGTCACGAGTTCCAATGACGGCCGGCCGGCCGGGGGCACTTCGGCACACCTGAGCACGCGGTACATCCGAACTCAGTGAGCCAGTCCGAGCCGGCGGGCCCTGGGAGCCCGGGCCTCAGTGACTCCCGCCGCGCGCGGCCGCCGGCCATGAATGATCCCGCAGCCGGATGATCACACGGTGAGTCGCCGGGAGTCCGCCGGACTGCCGATCCGACCGCCGCAACGGCGGCCAGCCCGGCTGCGGCGATCCAACTTAGCAGTGACGGGTGAGACTGACTCGGCCCCGGATGACCCTCGCATGCGGTGTCCCCCCTGAGCCCCGCCCTGCCCCAGTCTCCGGCGCCGCGGCCGGGTTCGGGGCCGGGGGGCCGCCTCACGAGTCACCGTCTGATCGGACAGTACGGCCCGATCCGATCCCGAGTCCCGGCGGAGGCTGGCTGGGTGATCGGATGATGTAACCGTTACATCATCGTCAATAATTATAACGGAAATGTTGCTTACGCCTCCGCCTTCTTTTTAGTGTATCACAGAGAATGACACAATTACCCTACCCCCATGGGATTGCTACCACCCCTCATTACTCAGCCACAACACCCGTGGTATGTACTACCCACCGTGGAATTTGAAGGCTAATTTAGCTTATAAACCACCCTTCGTCGAGGATTCAAGACTCTCCTACCCCACCCCCATGCCCCTTAAGAGTCTACGAGTCTTCGCCTCTTCCTCTACTCTTCTCTCTTCTTGGAATGCCAAGGGTAGGGTGGGGTCAAATGGGGTGCCTAGGAAGAGGTACCAAGTGGTGGGTGATAGTGTGGAAATATGGGTAGGGTGATGAATGGTAGGGGTAGAAAGGCAGTAAGGGTAGGAAGGTGGGGTACTAAGCTATTAAAAAACCAGGGTCTTTTCCATGCAGTAAGGGGTACTTTGAATTCGGAACGGTGGGGGAGACAATTATGGGGGTGTCGATCCAGTGGGTGGGGTGATGACATGAAATGGGTGGGTGGGTGGATCGAGGGGGGTGGAATGAAAAGATTCCTCTTACCATGATGGTGCTGGAGGAAAACAGGAAGATGGAGAAGAAACATGGCAGGAAAAGAAGGAGATGTAGACGAAGACGAAGAAGAATATTCACAATGATGCCATGAACACGAACAAGAAAGAAAGAACCCGAGTGGAGGAAAGAGAGTGTGTGCAAAAGGAACCAGTCAAGTGGGAAATTTGGTGAAATGCAGGGTGAATTCATGGGTGAAGGATCCGGTAGTTAGAGCTCAGAGAGAGAAAGGAGAGTAGCGCAATGGTTGATGAAAATCATCTAGCGTCCAGTGGGACGCAGGAGCTGCGAGATTTCCCCTCGCTGCAGCTCAAGGCGAGAGAGGTGTACAGCAATGCAAAATCACTACATGCAGCGGATGTGTGAAGTAGCTCAGTGACGGTGTGCGATAGCAGATGTGATGGAAGAGAGATGTGAAAAATTTTGAGTGGAGATGAGGAAACCTCCTCGCAGGGTAGATTGAAGAGAACATGATGGATGCGAGCTCTGTCGCATCGAATATTGAGTGGTGTTCAATGTTTAGCACTTCAGCTCACAAGTGAATCGTGTGGTGTAAGAGAAAATCAGCATGTTCTAGGACGTGGTCCACCATGTTGTTTGGTTTCTGTCTCTATCCCTGATCAGTCTTCAAGGGCCGGTGTTGAAGGGGGAGTTATCGGACAGGAATAGTTTGTGTATGCTGTACCGAGCAGCAGGACAGGATGTGGATGAATCGATGGATAGAAGGAGAGGAGAGAAGAGAACAGAGCCTCGTGATGAGGCTTGCGGTGAAGCTCGCTGAGATGAATTGAACCAACAAACAAATCAATCCTCGTCGCTGTGATGTTTTTGGTTGACAAACCCTGTCGTCAGGACTGAAAGCGCACAATGCCGTTCTCTGATGACTGGGATGAGAACGACCTTGCGAATGAGAGTGCCTTGGAGGTGAGGAGGAGGAGGAGGAGTGGATGAGGGAGAGGAGAGCAAGGGGGATTGGGAGGTGATGCTGACGGAGAGAACATGTTGCAAATAACGATGGCAGTGAAGATGATGTCTTATTGACGATGATATTTTGTGGTGTAGACTGCAGAAATTCGTCAAAGCAAGCCAAACTGGACGAGCTTCCGTGACGCACGTCTCATCTCCGACAAGTGAGCGCATGTTCCCCTGCCTTGCTCGTCTCATCCTTCCCCCTCCAGCGACGCGCAGCTGCTGGTCAGGTTCCAGAGGGAGGCCCTGCACAACCAGGGAGCCTTCATTGCTGAGGAGAGCGTCGCCCTGACCCAGGCCTTCGCTGCGGTCCTCAAGTAAGCGAGCCCAGCTTATCCCCACCTGTCCCTCACCTGTCGACCTGCAGATCTGTGAACAACAAGGAGGCCGTCCGCTACGTCCTGACGACGTTGGACGAGGTCATGAAGGAGAACAGGGAGATGTAAGGAGACTTGACTGTCTCCTGCCCTCGCTGACCCGCTGGCTTCCCGTGCAGTGCCAAGCGTTTCAGCCATCTGAGCGGGACTGCTGTTGACCCGATCGTCATCCTGCCTGACCTGCTCTCACGGTAGAGGGATCGACGGGCGCGCCTCGCCACTGACGTTGAGCCCAGGGATGATGACATCATCGTTGCTCGCGCCAGTCACGTGCTTGTCCACCTGCTCAGTGCCCCCATGGTGAGAGGAAAGGAGGAGGAGCGGACGAGGGCAGTTGAGGACAGAGAGACTGACGGTAAGGTTCAGCCGGCAAGCGAGGATGTGGTTCGAAGGCTGATGGACTTCGTGCGTGTTGAAGTTCAGCGAGAGGTCTCGGGATGGTATGGGCGAGGTAGAGAGTGACTCGACACTTCAGAACCGCCACAAGGGTTTCTGCTACCTGGCCATCTTGTCCATTCTTCAGGTCGGTGCTGGGTGAGGAGGAGGGAGGAGTGAAGGAAGGAGCACAGGGGCTTCTCCGAGAGCACTCGAGGAGGCTTGCGTTCTTCGAGGCCCGTGGGATGCAAATGCTGCTGGACATCATCAAGGTGAGGGACGGAGGAGGAGGATCAAGACGACGACGACTATGGAGATGACGATGATGATGATGATGACGACGACGACGACGATGATGATGACCATGACCATGAGGATGTGTTGGAGATACCTTCTTCTTTATCTCGTTTTGACATCTTCTTGACGAAGTCGCATCGTCGTCCCATCCATGTCTATCTATCTTTCGCGTGTTTGCTGTGATGATGTCGGCCTGCTGTCTGTCTATGTTGTCGTTGTCGTTGTTGTCGTTGTCGTTGTCGTTGTCGTTGTTGTTGATTTGCTGCACATGAGATGCAGTCCATTGCACAAGGGTGGACTCGGTTTGACTTTCAACGCAGCAACCCAAGAATCATAGCAATACTCAACTAATTTACCAGGTGAGTTCATTCTCTGAACTCGAGAGCGGATGAGCGCTACGTGACCCTGTTTCTCCCTTGTTGTTCGCCCCTTACACGTTGCTGTTTCTATCGTCTCACATGTTGCCTGTCAGTGCATTCACTGTGTTTGGCTCCTGTCTTACTCGCCGGGGGTGAAGGACAAGGTGAAGGAGGAGGAGGAGGAAAGGGAGCAGGAGGAGGAGGATGGGGAGAGGAAAACAGAGCAGAGCAGAGCAGAGTGGAGGAGCGAAGATTAGCGGCAAGCTGATGGTCGTGGCGATGCAGCTAGTAGACATGGAACTGATCGCCATGCTGGTTCACATCTTGAAGGGAACTCAGAAGGAGAAGGTCAAAACTCCTCTCTCCTCATCCTCATCACCCTAATCCTTCCCTTCCTCCCTCAGCCCGCAACATTCTTTTCTCCCTCTCTCCCTCTCCCTTTCTTCCTCTCTCCTCTTTTGTTTCCCTTCGTCTGCTGTCCTCCCATCCTTTTTCGGCTTCGTCCCACCTTCTTGTTCTTTCCTTCTCCACCACTGCTGATCCAAGGAGCAGGTCATTCGCATGATCTTGGCGGTCATGGTGAATCTGATTGAGAGCGGGGACATGAAAAATCTACTTTCTATTTGCGGTGAGGACGGACGGAGGAGGAGCGTGTGGGAGACTGACGAGGTTGTGAAGGAGGGCAAAGGTTGCTCGAGAATATGAGGCAGA